ATTTCCTCACAATTTGATTGCTCAATTCACAGCTGCGGAAACGGCCCACAGGGTCGCATCGATAATATACACAAATATATATATATATATATGGTCGTGTACATATATAAATAAATATTGCTCTCCTCCAAACACAAAGTAAATATGCTTACAAATAATCTACAAATTTCAGTACATTAAGTCTTGTATAATTTGTTTGTGTGCCCGAGGGTTACTTTTTTTTTTTTTGTTATTACTATATTACTATACCCATTGAAAATTACATAAAAGGGGGTATATAAGCTTTGATAACATATATTGAGCATGCGCTGATGAATTGACCAGCAATTTATATATCCGCACGATCCAAATAAGGTAAAGCTAGAGCAGAACAGGATAGCCTTTTGTTAGAACTTATTAACCAACATCGATAAAAATCTATTTCCAGAACTTTTTTTGTAACCATATTTCTTTAATAAGTAGAAATAGAGTCAATAAATTAGGTATATAGGTTCTCAAATGGACATACAAAAAGTGATTTTAACTAAGCTACGCTTTATAGTTAACTTCCCGGAAATCCACCAATAAATTTGGATGAGTAAGCCTACATTTTTGGGAGCCCTCAAATTCCAGAGGTCGTTTCCCGTTTTTATATCAATATTTTGCACTTTCTAGAGCAGTTCTCTAGTTCTGCATACCTAGACGGTATTTACAAGTCGTGCACTTTCAACTGGCGCGCACCTACTTATTTATTTTTTTGCGCAGCTGCAATTTGCACACACAAATCGTGATGATTATTATTATATTATTGCAGTAGCTGCGTTGTTTGGTTGTCTAGTGGCTGTGATACCTTATCAGCGACCGAAAGGAAAAAAACGCAGTGGAGACAACAAACAAACTAATAGATACAATTGAATTTGATTAAAAGCATCGCAATTTATGCGCGGAAATCAAGTGAAATACATGTAAAATGGAAGAGGAAAACAACAGAAGGAAAAACTGCACAAAGAGACGCCGCACTTTAATCAGCGCCAGTTGCGAGATACACAGCTGCATCTGTTAAATAAACGAGCTGCAATCATGAGATACAGATACAGATACTGATACATGCGCAGATGTATCTCAGTGCTCAATTTAAAGGTAAAATAAATTACTGGAAAAGTTTTGATTCAATTCGAGCGCTGCCTTTGAAACTTAAAATTATATGATTAAGTTTTTGCGGAAAGAGTAAAATAGTTCTAGCCTACATTTGAATAAACAAATATTCAATACTTTTTACAAATTATGTTATGATAGTTTCTTTTTGTAAACAGATTTTAAACTTATGTTTAGCCTTTTAAGAGTAATTTTAACATACTGCTGTTAACATCAGCAGCGTAATTTAACAGCAATTATATTGTAAAATACTATCAATGTTATTGTAATATTCTCTTGTGTTAGGTCATTATAGATCAATTTTAACATGCTGCAATCATGTTAACATTAATTAATTAACATTTAACCTCAAATATTGTTATATTAAACAGTTATAGGGTGGGTTGGCAAAATATGTGAAATTAATCTTTTAACCTCAGTTTGTAAAACCGTCAAGTATATTTTATTAAGAAGTTTATTTAATTTAAAGCCATGTAGAGCCAGTGAGATATGCAAGATAAGTTTAAACTTAAAACTTAAGCTGAACTCAGGAGCTGCAAACGAAACTTTAATTGATATGCTTAAGCTCCAACATAGAGCTGCGTTTGGTACTTGGCCAAGTGCTGTTGACCAGTCCAAAAGCTGGCAACAAGAACAACACATTAAGCCACTTGCTGTATGCATTCTTGACCAATGCAAACAGCCAAGTAGAAGTTGACTCTCTGACAGCCCTTGTGCCCTTTGTTTGCTCTGACGGCCTGTCAGTGGCCAAGACGTAGGCACACAGACGGACAGACAGACAGACAGACAGACAGAGGGACAGACAGCTGGACACGAGCAATGGACAGCAGTAGGCAGGACACGCGACACTTGATGTGCGGTTCGGTTGTGTGTGGACAACATTTCCACTGCAATATGCGTTCAAGTATTTGCCTAGGCATTTCCCATTTGCAAATTTGTTAAACAAATTAACATTGCCAAGCATTTTCAAAGAAGTAGCTGCATAGGAAAAAGCCAAGTTTAGAACTCGGCTGGTAAGTGGTAAATCGAATTAAAAGTTAACTATGTTAACTGTTAACAGAATTATTGTGAGCTGTAAATAGATGCACTTTTAAAACTAGAAAGTAGACAAGAGGCGTTACAGTTTAAAGAAACTGTTAATAATATTCAGTATTCAATGCTCTTATTTAAAGTCTGTTAGCGTATATTAGTGGGATAACATTTGTGTGTATGTGAGTGCTGTTACAGCTGGGAAAATTAACACGAGTCAGCTATGGTGCGGTGTTGTCAATACTATTTTAGCTAATGTTATTCTTAGCTATTCTGCACTGTTATTAAAATTTGTATGTTATGTTACCACTTACATATATGACGCACTGTTAGGTCTTAAAGCACATCGATAACATGCTGTTACTAGCATTTGTATATAATGCTAATTAGCTGCGTATAAAACCGTTTCTTTTACTGGCTAATTTTAGTTCTCCTGCTCTTAACAAAACTATTTTTAGATCAACTCGTCAACTATAAACATATTTATATAAAGTTAATAAAAGGCTACTCGACAAAGGCGCATGCTGATGCCTAAAAGTTATTAAACGCTCAGCAAGGGTATTAAAATTGGCATTCCCAGCTTAACAAAACTATTTTTAGATCAACTCGTCAACTATAAACATATTTATATAAAGTTAATAAAAGGCTACTCGACAAAGGCGCATGCTGATGCCTAAAAGTTATTAAACGCTCAGCAAGGGTATTAAAATTGGCATTCCCAGCTAAGTAGCATGGGCGCATTACGCTGCGAAATGGATATGCATTGGAATCCATTCAAACTGGCCTGACCCTGTTCTGGTGCACCACTAAAAAAGCTGGAGATGAACAAACCGGTTGTCAGCGGCAGCGGGAAGAACGGCAAGAGGAGGCGAACCCGCTAGCACTCTGCTACGCCCGATGCAGCATCAGGCTGAGAGACTCGTGCAACTTGCAGTTGCAGTTGTGGCTTTCAGGTGCATGCGGGCCACACAAAATGGCTAAAAAGCTGACCAACAGCTACTGCAAATGACATTCGCCTCTGCTGCACAATCTGGTTTTCTGGATATCTTTGGGGTATTTTATACCCTGTACCCATTAAAAATGGATTAAAATGGGTATGCTCGTTTTGTGCGTAGGTATGGAACAGGCAGGAGGAATACAACATAATTCTCTAATTCGCTTTTACGTTACATTTATATTCTTAATTATTGCTATATACACACACCTATTTAAGCTCTTCGAATTTTATAAAGACAGGAATATAATAGCACAAGTTATTCAAAAATAATTTCTTATTGCAGGAAGAAAAATCACAAAAATAATGTTAGTTTATTTTAAGGTAGATATCTGCTTTTGTGCACTCTCAACATGGGGATTTGTTTTCTTGCAATTCTTTTTCAGCGCGTGATTTGCATTTCAACTTAAGTCCAAAAAAGCAGCCCATTTAAATTTGGTGACTGATGTTTTTCACCTTCAAAATTCACGGCCAGTGACATAACCCCAGCCATTTGGTCTCCCCCCCCCCCCCCCTCCCCACGCAATGCCTGTCTAAATCTAAACGGACGCCTTTCATAGACTATGTGAATCGGTGCATTTAACAGCACGTACGTGCTGTAAATCTAGTCCAGGCTGCAAACGCTGTTAATTCGATAAGCCCGTTAGCTGTGATAAGGCAGCCTCTTTAATTGGCATCGGTCTGATTGTATACACACCCACACACGCACACACACATGCCAACACACACACACAGACAGTCGTAAATATTTGCTGCTATTAATAAACATGTTGTTTAATTTGTTGCTTTCATTTGATGCACGTCGTTTGTTCAGTGGGCCACGCACTTAAACCAATTGACATTTTGTGCACACACAAACACATATATATATAATTTGAATTTTATTTTTGTTGTTTTGCTGCACGCGAGAAAAATGCCCAACAAAAATTCCAAATGATGTCATTTGCCAGTTGTTAACGCTTTAAATAACTCATTGTACTACACTTATACAGAACAAAATTAGAGAAAAGACAAAAAGTAATTGCCTAATGCACCGCATTCCTACACTAAATAGAGACATAAATGGCATAAGATACTACTTTACTACTACTTTATTAAATTGCATACGAAGAGCTGTTTAAGGAACATAACATTGACATATAATCAATATATTGTCTTGGAATATAAGTCGAAAAGTATTTATGTATTTTGCATTGAATGTATAACATTTATATATAACACAACAGAAACTGTACAGAATATGTACCAAGTCATTCTGCTAGCAAGCCATTCGCAAGTGAAAAGCTGTTAAATAACAGCAATGCATAAGTGTTAAGCCGCAATCGTTTGCTTAACATATTTGGTCAAATATTCAGCAATGTTACACTTTAACATATGCCCTCATGTCAACAGCAATTAAATTGAGTTGGGGCGAATTCGCGTTAAATACCTAACATAGCTACACAATTATTCAGCCACATTTAACATTCCTTTAATGTCTCTGCAATGTTAGTCATCGCCGAAAGGGCATTTTATTAAGTGGTTTATTTTCTACAGCTATTCAGAGCCAGGCAACTAACATTTTTTCTGGTTCGTTGCGCACAGGAAGCGCCTGGGGGAAACGTAAAATGAAATGGCACATTAAGGATATGCCACAAGTGGCTGCGTCAGCTGAGGCGGAAACTCGAGGTTTCCGTGCTGACACGCACACAAACAGGCAGGTGTGTGTGTGTGTATGTGAGGTGTACCTGGCAACAGGTGTGCCTGGACTGGGCTGGGACTAAATGTTAGCTGATAAAAACAAAAACTAAAATAAGCCAGCAACAACTGGCCATGTAATGCGCTATCAGCGGCGTCGACTCACCTGATAATACGAATCCGACATATTTTGCGTAGTTGTAGTTGTTCTTGTCTCCGTTGAATCACTCGTTAAGCGCTGTTGTTGTTGTTGTTATTGTTATTGCAGAGTTTAGTATATCAGTTTGTAGATGATGTTGTTGTTGTCGCCCGTCAGAGTTGAGAGTCACACACACACGCACACACACATATACTAAACGCATACGCACGCACACAGACAGACGACCAACGCACGTCGCGTTCTTTCGTTATTTTTCGTTTCGTTTGGTTTGTTTACTTTTGCTCCAAAAATTATATATATATACATATATGTATGCTGTTCACACTTCCAACACCTGATGCCAAAATAACTGTGCTTTTATAGCGAACGAGCGAGCACTATCTCCCTCTATCTTTCTGCTCTTTGCTATCGATATTGAATAGAACTTTCGTTCAGTTATTATTATTATTCTTGTTGTAGTTGTTATGGTAACATTTAAAATGTGACGACAAAGCAAACACGCAAACAGGTGGCACAGCGAGAGAGAGTGAGAGAGAGCGAGATAGAGAGTGCCTGACAATTGTTGCTGAAAACAAAAAGCAGATGGCGGCTTATTGTTATTGCATATTATTTGCAAATATTATGCATATTTCGGGGGAAAAAATTCACACAGCTTCTAACAATAACAAAACACACACAGCATGCGCTGAGCGAACGATAAACAGCAAACAGTTGTTGTTTGCGGGCTGCAGAGGCTGGGGTTGGGGGGAGGTGCGCTTCCATAGAAATTAGCTTCAATTGACCATTTTGTGGATTTAATTGAAAATTGTGTGTGTTGTGCTGTTGCTTTTTATTGATGCGGCTGCCGCTGCTGCTGTTGTTACTGAAAGCTATAAATAAGCAATAGCTTATGGGCAAGCGGGGCGGGACAATGCAGCGCCATAATCAGCAAACGAAGGAAGAGCTGCAAGCGCAAGTGGCGGCAAAAAAAAAGCTGTTCGCGCAGCTAAATGAAATTATGCTGCTGCGCCCTGCTCACTCCTCGTTCCCGCGCACACACACACACACATACACAGTGGGTACACGCAGCGGTCCCAGTACCGGTTGCATTGTAATGGCGTCTAAATAATGAAGCACCTTGAAATAAATACACGGCCAAGATTGTTTAAACAATAATCAAAACGCACAAAAACAGCTTTGCACACACATACGCATCGGTATATGCATATGAGAACAAAAAGTGCTTGATATCTTCCTCATCTTCTTTATCATATACGAAATTTGTACATTTTTTATAATTGTAACTCGCTCTCGCTCACTCACTGCACACGCACGCACGCACACATGCATACAAATTGCGCTGCTCAGATCAAATTCTTTGCTGTCTGCGCTTGCTGCTGCTGCGTTGTCGACATTTTGCTTCGTTTTCTTTTCTTGTTGTGCATGCTGAATGCAAAAAACAACAAAATTATTATTTATCACGTACACTTTGTATTCAAATCATAACGCTTGTTTTTAGTGTTGTACTTTTAATAGTTGCATGCAATAAAATACACTTCGTTGGGTTTTTTAAACGAAAATATGTGAAATGGTTAAAAACACTGAACGGCGACGACACGACGTTCGAGCATATAACCAGTGTGACCGCCAACACGAAATGCTCAAATAACCAACAGCAACTTGTACAAGAATTGCCCAAAAAATACTAGCTCGTAAATATGGCGTGATGCGCGGACTGATACTTTTGAAATTATATTTGTTTCTATAATAAAGTTAAATAAACTTAATATAAATGTATGTATTAATCAAATTAATAAAATATTTTATTATGCCCCAGAAGTCTAGTTTCTATTGCCATTTGAAAATCGCAGTAGTTTGTTTTATCGAACAGGGCTGCATTTTGGAATATATTCAGCTGCTAGAGATGGCAAAAATTTAGAGATCGGTTCGAAAAATTACTGCACACTCACGTTTGACTGCGAGTTTTTAGTTCAAAAACAAAGGATATTTTAAAAAGTATTTTTATTTATCAAAGGTTGTATTTTTTTTTAATTAGACAGCTGGTTTTTTGGGCAGCGAACCGAACGCTGATATGACGGTGCCCTTGGTGCCAGTCACGGTTGTGGTCAATGCAGGTAACGTTGCTTTTGCCGCCGGCTGGTCCCACTTCGATTTGCTGCACAAGCAATATCTTATATATATATATTTTCAATAAAAGATCAAGGATAAGCTTACCGCTTCTTGGCCTCCTCCTCCACTTTGCGTGCCAGCGCCGTCGCCTGCTCCACCTTGTCCATATCCTTTCGATCCTTTTGCCGCTTGACCATCTCAGTTTTCTGCACCGCGGACAGCGCTTCGTAGTAGCTCTCCTCGCCCCACTGCAGTGGATCGTAAATTTCTGGTGGATAATTGGTGCCGAATTCGTTGATGTCACAGAAACTGATTAGCTTCTCATAAATGCTGGGATTGCGAAATTCTTTGCGATCCTGAATAACGCGATTCATGTCCATATTGGTTTGCCTCATTTTCGTGTACATTTTCGTGATCTTAGCGACCAGTTCTGGTGGTGGATGGCCTTTGGGCTCTGGCGGCAATTGAAATTTATATTTGGCGTATTTGGGATCCTTCTCGTAACTCTCCGCAGAGCGGTCGTCCGCATTGTATGTGTTGGAATCGTCGTCGTCCAGCTGCATGGGCGTATCTGTGCCGCCTTCTGGTTTTACGCTGTTTTTTTCTTTGCCATTTTCGTGCTGCACACTTTCCAGTTCCGAGCTGGCACTGTCACTAGATGACTCCTCTTCGCTGGATTCCTGTGCGCGGTCATCCTCCTCGTCGGAGATCAACGTATCGTCCTGGTAGCTAACCAAACGTCGCAGTTTCTTGGCGCGTTTCTTTTTCTTGTATTTCTTCGCGGGCTCTGGCTCCTGTTTGACGGGCGTAACTGGCGTTGGTGTGGCTGGCTTTGGTATAATTACCTGTAATTTATAAGAATTGTTTTAATATATGTATAAGTTAAACACAATTTTCATTCTACCTGTGACGCTGTGGAGTTTTCTGAATCCGGACTGGCGTCGCCTTCGTTTTCTGAGTCCGTATACTGTGCTGTCAAACTGGCCAAGGCGGAGTGGCTCATTGTATTATAATATTTAGTTTACCTATGCACCAATCTTTTAAGCAATTAAATAATTATTGCAAATTGTTTTTCAGTTTTCTCTACTTCATTCAAATTTGCCATTCACTGTGAAAGTCAACACACATTTGTTTGGTAATTTTTTATTTTGTGCAAAGTTGACAACACTGTTTCGAACAGCTGATTGAAAAGTGTATACGAGACTCATTACGCAAAATGTCAGCCATATAATGATTTACAGTTTGCACAACACGTTAATTTTAGGCTAATTTAAATAGCAGTTCTCAAAAACATTAATTGAACGACAAGCCCTTAACTCTTAAAGTGAGCAGCATATTATATTTTACAGATAATAATGAATTTTGCAATTTAGAGAGTATACAGTTTTAGTGGTGTAATTTTGTTGTAATGCTGCTCGTATAAACCTTAAGAGTGTCTGATTGTTGCTGTTGACGTTGCCAATTGAAAAATATGAGCGCAGCACAAGAGGATCAGGATCGCATACAAAAGCGTGTCAATAAAATCCTTGAGACACGGCTAGAAACGGACAAGGACACGCTCGATGCGCTAAATGGACTCTCCAGCTTTTTCACAGAGAATACCCTGCAGAATCGTCGCAATCTGCGCAGCCAAATCGAACATCGCTCCGTTGGCATCAATGAAAATTTCCTGAAGGCCTTTCGTGAGGTGAAACTCACATTGGATGCGGTGTGCACGGATCTGGACACGATGTCAACATCGGTGCAAACCATGAAGACGGATCTGGAAACATCCAAAGCCCTGACCAAGGATCTAATCGAACAGACAAATAAAATGCAACAGGAGCGCGAGCGATTGGAGGTGCATCAGCAAATAGCCCAGGCATTTTTGGCGCGCTTCCAGCTTAGCGTGCCGGAGCATCAGCTGCTCTACGGCACCGCCAAGGATGCGCCCATTGTGCCCGAGTTCTTCAAGGTGCTGGATCGCGTACAGTCCATACATTCCGATTGCCGGCTGCTTATGCAGTGCGGTTATCAGACGGCTGCCCTGGACATTATGGAGGAGATGACGCTGCATCAGGAGGGTGCACTCGAGCGTCTCTACCGCTGGACTCAGAACCATTGTCGCAATCTGGAAAACAACGAGATTGGACCGCTCATCGTGGAGGCCATGAGTCGCCTGCAGGACAGGCCGGTGCTCTTCAAGTACGTCATCGATGAGTATGCGATTGCGCGTCGCGCCGTGCTGGTGCGCCAGTTCATCGAGGCCCTCACCGAAGGCGGACACGGCGGCAATCCGAAGCCCATCGAGCTGCATGTCCACGATCCCAAACGCTATATTGGGGACATGTTCGCCTGGCTGCATCAGAGCATACCCAACGAGAAGGAGAACCTGACGCTGCTCTTCAAGAAGTGCGACAAACACGGTGAGATTAGATCCTCAATTCCCTGTGCTAGTCATAAAAAGATGTTTCCTTTCAGATATTTCGGAGCAAATGCAAAAGGCTCTCAGCTACATAGCCGACGGCGTCTGTCATCCGCTTAAGGTGCGCGTGGAGACCATCTTGAGCTCGGAGCAGGACACCATCATATTGTTTACCATCTCGAATCTGTTGCGTTTCTATCAGCAAATCATGAAGCAGGTGGTGCAGGGCGGCAGCCTCGAGCAGTGCCTCATCGAGCTGCAGCAGAGCAGCGAGCAAATCTATCTAAATGCTCTCGCCGCCCAGGTGCGCAGCGTGCTCCAAAGGCCGGCGGGCAGCAGTCTGGCACTGGAGCCACCGCAACGCGATCTGGTGCCGCCGGTAAGCGTGTCTCGGCTGCTTAATATACTGAAAGAGATCCTGTCCGTGGCGACCATGGTCGACGGTCGCCAGGCGGATATAACCAAAATTGTGACCTGTGTAATCGATCCGCTGCTGCAGTCGGTGCAGGAGAGCGCCGCCCATTTGCCCACCGTGGACATGGCCGTCTATTTGCTCAACTGCTTGTATCACATGCAGAGCACCTTGGCGGTGTTTGAGTACATGGATGAGCGCGTGGAGCGGCTGCAGGCACAGTCTGATGCACAGCTGGACACGCTCACCTCCGAGCAGGCCTCCTCGCTGGTGGCCAACCTCAATCTGGGCCCCATCTACACCATACTGCAGAGCAATCAGACCAAGATCGAGACCAACTTGCTGAAGATTTTCATGTCCAAAATGGATGCATTCCTGCAACTGCCCGATGTGCTGCTGTTGCCGCAGGTGCAGCTGATCATGTCCAGCAGCCATCGCAGCACCGTGCAGCATCGCGCCTTCAATGTCATTGTCGCCATCTATAAACAGATCTATGAGCGTGTACACGATCCGGCCAATGGCTTCGAGCAGCCCGACCTGCTGCTGCACAAAACGCCCGATCAAGTGGCACGCATATTGGCCACCTAATAACCTTTTGGACTCCCAGCAGCTTATGTGTATTTATATTTATATATATATTATAATATATTTTATGGCTACCCACTGTAGTTTACTGTACTGTATTCCTATTCTTATGGCTCTTGTCTCGCCTCTCTTTTGTATACCCTTACCGTGTGTCAACTCACGTAGAGCTCACAGTTGGCTACTTACTGTAAGTACAGTATATATTCTGATAGTAGAACAATGAAAGGCAAGTCTAATTCATGTTGTATACAACAGCTACGAAAATTGTCAACTATATTGAAACGAACCTTGTAATACTCTCTCTCTCTCTCTCTTTCTCTAAGTAATTATTGTAATTTGAAGCTTGTTCATTTTAGCGAATGTGTTCTGTACATTTCTCATAATTTTCCACTAAATATTCAAGTGTATTTAAGCTTCGTTCGACATTTATTTGCATACCTTTAATGCCCTTGTATAGAGTATCACAATTTGTTTATGAAATATGTAACGCATAGAAGAAGACATCTCCGACCTCTTAAAGTATATATATTCCTGATCAGTATATGTTATGCTAAATAATATCTTAGTTTAAGATCCTCGTCATAAAACGCGAGCTTTACTATTCGTTTCATATATCTGGAAAACCGTAAGTCATATTTGGAGAAGGGTATTTAATCTTCGGCGCGGCGAGCTCGTCTCAGTTCTCTCAGTCATTTGTTGTTTATTTTTTCGCGCCTATTCAAAATGCACAATAGACTCTTCACGCTCGTATATGTATTTATTTATATGTACTTAAAAGACGCGGATGCGTCGCCCTCGTCTGCTTCTCGTCTTCTGTCAATTGTGCGCTTATCAAACAAGAACCCTAGCAAAAAATAAATAAATTTAAAATAAAAAAAAAGCACTGCTAAAATTAGTTTATAAATAAATAATTTATAGGAAAGGCAGAACGCTACCGAAAGTGCTCAAGTGTTGGCCTTGTTTATCGCCGCGATTTCTCAAAAAACGCAAAGTAACGCAAATCTTTTGAGCGCGTCATTAGTTAAAGAATTTGACGTCGTTTATCGCCGCAGAGGGGATCCTCCCCGCCCCCGCTCCCGCCACCCGTTCCACTCTTAACTAATTACACATGTTGCGGCCGAAAGTGCTGGCAGTGCGTCCGCAACTGGCCAAAAACTGAGTCCATTTGTACCGGATCTCGTTTCGGTTTTATCTATGCCTAAGTACAAAGAATTCTGCAGTCCAGACCTTCTTATCGCGACGTGCGGAAGCTGTGCCGCTTCGTAAGTGCTTCGATAAACTATATAAAACAGAAACAATATTAAATTTAAAGTTTTATAATGCTAAACTAAGCGAAACTTAATGTTTAGGTATACAATATGCGTGTGTGTGTGTGTGTGTTTGTGTGTTAGTTCAATCGATCTGTTCGCTTTAGGTAATTGTCACTGTGGCACGCTGGAAGAGCTCCAATGTGAGGCCGGCAAAGAAAGCGGGAAAAGAATTATTGGCCGCCAATTGCTGATCGATGGCCGGTTTCAGTGTCTGTGAATAGGGCGACTCGAGCAGTGCCAGGCAGTTGGACTCGTTCAAGCTAATGGACAGATAATCGTCGGGACTTTCCGCATACATGCTGGAAATGCTGTTAATATAACAAAAATGCGCAATTAGTTTCGTGGCTCTCTCCCATAAAATATTAGCACCCACCGATAGTGACTATTGGCGCCCACACGATCGATCCTATAGCCCAAGAGCATATAGCACACATCGCGAAACTCCTTGCTGGCCGCCTTGAAGCATTCCTTCATCTTTTTCATTTTGCCATTGGCCGATTCCAGTTCGGCGCGCAGCTGATTGAACTCCTTGAAATTCATGGTCATGCCGCCGCCGGCGCTGCTGCTGCCGGCCGTCTCATTGAAGCGAGCCTGCGTCTGTTCCTGGTCCTCCTCCAACTTCTTGTTACGACGCTTCAGGCGCTCAATCTGTAAGCAAAAAATATAACGCTTAGCTAAAAGCAAATCGTCTCGAGCTGTTTAACACCACGCACCTCTGCTTGGAGCTTCTCGACCACATTTTTGGTAGCTTCGTAGGCATCCGCAGCGGGATTCTCGCTTAGATGCAGCACCTTGTAGTTGCCCATGTTGAAGTCGCCGCGCAGGCAACGATGCTCCATTTCCAGTTCGAGCTCATCCTTGCGCCGACGCAACCGTTCGTTCTCCATGCGCAGCGTATCCAGCTCCCGCTTGACGCTATCGTAGCCGTTCTCGTTGATCGGCGGATCGTTGAGCGATTCCTGCTGTCGCATCGATTGCATTTCGCGCTCCAGCGTGGAGCACATTTCCTTGTAGCCGGTCAGAGTGCGCTCCAGCACCTCGACGCGATAGCGCACCTGCATGTCGTTGGTCATTTCGGCGGTGCTGGCATTTGTCATATTGAGATCCTTGTCGAAGTTCTCCAGCAGCTGCTTGTAGAAATCGCGCTCCTTGCAGACAATCAATAATTTGCGCTGCAAGCGCTCCCGGAAACTTTTGTGGCGCTTCAGCACCACGTTCATGTCCTCAATGTTCTTCAGATAGACGGCGCACTTTTGCTCCAGCTCGCGCACCGTCGATTGCAGCTGCTTGGAGTCGGAGTCGGCGCTGCCCTTCTCTGCCATGCGCACTATGTCATCCTGGAGCAGCTGCTCGATGCGCGTGCGCAGCGCCATGGGGCTAACCAGTGTATTGGGCAAGCAATGGTCCTGCGCCACTTTGACCCATTCCTTGAGCTCCTGCTCTACATGCGTGAGCTTCACCTGCAGCGCAGCGGCCTCGGCGCGTGCGCCCTCCTCCCGATCCAGGCGTGTCTTGTAGTCGTGCACCTGTTCCTCCAGCAACAGCTTGTCACCAATCAGCGAATTTAGCTGCTTGTTGTGCGCGCGCAGGCGTTCCAGCTCCGACTGTAGCTCTGGCACGCTGAGCAGGCGAGCCTGGGATGTTTTGGTAATCTCCTTCCAGTCGGCATACGACTGTATCTCATATTCCAGCTCCTTGATGCGCGCATTGGCCGTCGCCAGGCTCTGCTGTTGCATTTCATAGCTCATGTGCAGCTGCTCGTAGTTGGCAGCGGTCGCCTTGTACTCATCGTGGCGCTCGCGTATGCGCTCCAGTTCGCGTTGTGTGGCCTCCAGCTCCAGTTCGGCCCGCTCGCTGATTCTTTTGTATTCGCTCAGCTCGTTGTTGATGCAGTGCTGCACCTCGCGTGCATCCTCCTCCAGCTGCGTCTTCTCCTGCTCCGCACGACTGAGCGCCGTCTCGTATTTCAGTTTTTGCTGTGCCAGCTCCGCCATGGCGCGATTCGCCTCCTGGCGAGCGTTGTGCTCACGTTTGCGCACCACCTGCAGCTGTTTATCCTGCTCTAAGATCTTGGCACTGGTGTAGTCGCATTGCTGCTTCAGTGCCGCCGCTTTGCTCTCAGCCAGGGCCAGGGCGCCACGTTGTTCCTTCGCCTGCTGCGCTAGTTGATCCTGGAGCTGGCTGACTATTGCTTTGGACTCGATCAGCTCGGCGCGTAATTTGCGCGTCTGCCACGGTCCTACGGGATCATTAAATGAGTTGTTCAGCGATGTGTTGCTGGCATTCAGGCTGCCATTCGGTGAGCCATTGTCCAGGCTGTCTATGCGTCGTTTCTTTGGCACTTTTTTGAATATTAAGTTTTTAGTTTTCATTTTTTGCCAGCAAATATGTCTTCTTCTTACCTGTCACAGAGTCTTCGCTGAACGACATGGAGAGCCGGTCGAAGCTGAGCTTTTTGGGCGCAGAGTGTGTGATGCTATCATTAAAGCGCGCCATTATATTGTCCAAGCTACTTCGTATTTCTTCCATTATACGTATTTCTTTCAACTTCAATTGTTTTCAAGTTTGCCGTTTGTGTAAAAAATTTTGCTGAAAAAATGACCGACTGTGGTGGCAGGTCGACAAATATTCGATAAGCAACCTCAACTTATCGAATAGCAGCCTAACTTAAAGTAGAAATAGTAAAATGCCTTATAAATTAACAAGTTGGCAGCACTGCCGCTGCAATTTGGCGCCAAACTTAAAACATTCTATGGCAACCATTTTAAATTCTTAAAAACAACTATGATATATATATATTCCCGTGCTTGTGAACAACCATTATGAGTAACTGCATCATTAGTTTCACGTAAAGCCTTTAAAAACGAACCATTTCAATCATTTTAAATAAGCTTGCACAAAAATAAAGTGATAAAATTTGCGCTTATGATTTATTTGACTTGGGCCTTCTTTCTGTGTGCATGCGTGTATGTGTGTGTGTGTGCGTATGTGTGTGTGCGAACGTGTGCGAGCCTCTGCCTATGCCTCTGTTAGCCCATGAAAAATGAGCGCATTAAATTTTATGATATTGTTTGGGCCTGTCATCAACTTTGCTCCAAAGCACTAACACACACACACCCACAGACTCACACTGGACCTCTTTACCCCCAGACCACCCTCGCTGCCTAACGCACGGACGACAAACAAGTGGCAAAGTTCAAAGTCAAACAATAACACTTTTCATAAACAAAAAAACCAGCACACACACAAATACACAAGCTTGAATGTATAGTCCTCATATGAATTGCCGACAGGCTTTTCTTTTACAGTTACCTGCGCTCGCTCCGCGCCAAAATTGACCAAAAATTTTCCATATTGAAACTTGTCAACGAGAGAAACTTGAAAAAAGAAACAAACCGAAAACCGAAATTGACCTGGGCCAAGCGCAACGCGAGCTGTCGACAGAGCAAACAAAAGAGAGTTGAGGCGCGCATTGAATAAATTTTCGTGTCTGCGTTTTGTTCAGGCAATTTTGTGCGCAGTTTATGCGTGCGTATATATATGCGTAGATATATGTGTGTGCTAGTATGGGTGTGCAGTGCGGAGGCTTAACTTTTCGCCCGTTGAGCACTTTATCAAAGCTTAGCACCTGACAATTTGCCACGAAACATGCGGACATTTTTTTTCGTTGCCAGCGCTCTCTTAACATACGCACAAGAAATCAACACGCAATTGTATATGTGTGCTTGTGCGTGTGTGCCTGTGTGAGTGTGTGTGTGTGTGTGAGAGTGAGTAATGAAAATA